AATAAAACTCTCTGAATGCTAGTACTTAGGCTGCCTTGTATTTCTATTAGCCAAAGATGCCACAGGCACATATTCATGCTCAATAATTATTTTTTAATGAATAAACTGGGGTGGAGAGATGGTTCTATCATTCAGAGTATTTGGTGTTCTTCCACAGAACTGGATTTCTGTTCCCAGAACTTAAACTGGGCAACTTAACCATACGTAACTGCATCTCCAGGGGATCTGATGTTCTCGTCTGGCCTCCACAGGAATGGCACTCACATACTCCTGCATACTCACTCATGTACACAGAATTAAAACTAAAATATCTTTATTTAATGAGTCAACAGTGAAGCATGGAGACACATGCCTATAATCTTGGTGTTTCGGAGGTAAAAGCAGAAGGGCCAGGGATTCAAGGCCATCCTTGGCTTTATGGCAATTTTCAGGCTAGCCTGAGCCATAAGAGACCTGTAATCAAAGCATTAAAAACATTTTTTAAATAGAAGAAAAAAAGGGGCTGAGATGGAACTCAGAGTAGAACACATGCTTAGGGTGTTCGAGTACTTAGATTCAATGAACGGCAATGGTCAAAACCCTTTTGTAAACTTTTTAAATGTTTGTTGTTTTCCTTTTATGTTTATTGTGACTGCAAGCATATAAATGCATATATCTGCATTCTTGGTTCCCAGAAATCCCAGAAAGGAGTGTCAGATCCCCTAGAACTGGAGGTCCAGATGATTATAGCTGCTGAGAACTGAACCTAGATTCAGTGGGTACTCTTACCAGCTAAGCCTTCTCTCCAGCCCTCTACCTTTTTAAAGCTAAAAGAGTAATTAGCCAATGACTCAGCAGATAAAGTCTTTATTGTACAAACACGTGGACTGGAGATCAGGTCACCAGAAAGCATGTGGCAGCCATGTAGCTGTCTGTAATCCCAGTGCTTGAGAGACAGACATAGGAAGAGTCCCAATTGGCCAGCTAGACAAGCCAGAATTGGTGTGCTCCAAGGTTTAGGAACAGGCCTTGCTTCAGTAGATAACATGGAGAGAGATCAAAGAAGATACCCCACATCAATCCTGAGCCTCGAAAAGCATGGGCATGCACATGTATATGCAACTCTCTCCCTCCCTCTCTCTCTCTC